GCTAGCTTTAAGCTAAATTTATGTTCATTCTGTCTAGCTTACACTTTCTATCGTGGAGATTTAAAATTTAAGTACTGTTTCTAATTGACCTTTGTTTTAATGTTGCAGTGATACTTTGTGGAAAAAGGCCTAAAATTCAATTAATGATCATTCATTGCTTCTCTTGTGAAATATTGCTATCAAGACTAAGTACTTGGGTATACTGGCTGAAGTTAAGCATCTTAAAATATTCTTTAGTAGCAGTTTCACACAGTCCTTTCCAAACTAACTAACACTAAACTCTAAAATGTTGCAATAAATATCTATCAATTATTTGACCCTAAGGCAAATACAAGACATTGCTCAAGAAGATAATTAAACTGAGGGCTTAAGTATTAAAAATGCCTCCAGTGTAAAAAAGATTGAGAAGGATATCAAATATTTGTGGCAGGCATTAATCATCATAACAGATGAAGCAACCTGTCTATCAGAGGTATTAGTGAAAGGCTGAGAATGGCAATCTGATGGATTACACAGTAAGAATATTTAAACAATTTCCTACAGAATTACACTTTTCTGAAAATGACATAGTACATGCATGCAGAATTTGAAATACCAAGCTTGGGAAGCTGAATAAACCAAGGAATATTATAATTAAACTTCTTAGTGAACAAAAATTCTTTGAGGCAAAATTTATTTCTTACAGTACATATTTGTCCATTAGAGACGAAACATTAGAGACATTCATAGAGACATTATTTTGTCACAAGCTGGAGGAGGAATTTAACGGGGGGAAACATAATTTTTTGTTTTATCAAGGTATTAGCAGAACTGCCTTAAAACATGATGACATTTAAGCTTCTTACAGGACTGCTGATAAAAATGGGAATTCAGTATAAATGGGATAATAGATTGAAACCACAAGGAATAGGAACAATTTATATTATTCTGGTTATGAATGAAACTGGCTGAGTTGAAGAAGATTCTCTCTGATGGTACTTGGACAAGGAATAACCTTGGAGATGAAGCCAAGGAGAAACAGCTGCAAAATGAAGCTCCCTGGGAGAGCATTCGGACACAAATATGAGCAAACTAGGGGAAAATACAAAATGAACTTTTAGATTAAAAGTTCTTATATGGTATTAAAATATTAGCTCAGATTAGAATTAAGATATAAATGGGTGAGATAAAACTTATTTAGGAAGTGGGATGCAGAAAATTAATATAAGAAAGCACATAAAAATAAAATTATAAGTAAGTCCAATTGTGTCTGACTCTAGTGGGCGGTGCTCATTTCTTATCCAAGGAAGCCAGTGTTATCTGAAGACATTTCTGTGGTCATGTGGCCAACATGATTATATACCAAAGCACATGGAATGCTGTTACCTTCCCATTGAAGTGGTACCTATTTATCTATTTGTATTTGCATGCTTTCAAACTGCTAGGTGGGCAGGAACTAGAGCAAGAATGGGAGCTTACTCCATTGCACAGCACTCAATCTCAAACCCAGGCTGTCAGCTTTCCAGCTGACAAGCTCATCATCTTTAAGTGGATTAATTGAGTGATAAAGGGATGACAGAGTGGGAGGGGGGAAATCCCTGTTAGATCTAGAAGGGGCTCAAAAATGATTCTTATGAAACTCTGTAGATTTGTTGGTTTGCAATTGAATGCAGGAGGAGAGGGAGGACAGGGAGGGAAATGATTTGAGCTAAGGACTATATATCAAGGCTGGGAACTTAACAGAACAGAATAGAGTTGGAAGGGACCTTGGAGGTCTTCTAGACCAGCTCCCTGCTCAAGCAGTAGAACCGATACTATTTCAGATAAGTGGTGGGAAACGCAGAAAGGTGAAATTTTGTTACTGGTGCAAGCAACAAAATATTTATATTTTTAAGCCAGAATAATTTGTTTTATACGACACAAGGTAAAAGAAATGATATTTTATGATATATGTAAACGTTAGATGTTTGAATGAAAGAATTTTACTCCTTGAACATTTTTTTCAAAACAAATAATGTAAACTAAATTTTGCTATAAGATGGGAAGCAGTGAAAGTTGTGATAAGAGGGGAATTGCATTATACAGAGAAGTCAAATTTAAAAGGAAAAAAATCTTTATCAAATTAGACTTAAAAATGAAAGATTTGTTAGCAAAACTTAATAAAACAGATTTTTCAATGGTCTATACACAGCTAGAATGGAAAAGAATCAAATTAGGCATTCTAGAAGTTGATAACATTTTAAAAGAGCCTCTATTTTCAAAGCTATAACATTTTAAATTTGATAGGAAGTACTCTAGAAAGTAAATTTAATCCCACATTTTTCAACCTTCTTTAGACAGTGTGGAATTAGAAATGTAATTAATTAATTACTTAGCAAAACAAGTCAGGAATATGTGACTTGTGAAATCAATATAAGATTTTAAAAGTCAAATAATTTCTAATACTAGATCCTAACAGTCCTTAAAGAATCATGTACTTCTAGAAATCTAACATCAAAAGACATTAAGAATTAGATAAACTAGAATTCCCTGTTTCAACACAATACATTTGATAGATCCATTATTAATCTAAATATAAATCTATACTTCATTTAAAGCTAGGAAAAATATTCTCAGGGTATTATTTCATATACCTCTATTCATTATTAAACACAACTTATAAATTATACTTAAAATGAAGGATCTTAAATTAATTATAGGCACAAACATCCAAATTCTCTGGATATATCTAGCTCTATCAGATGCTAAATAGATTTCATTTCTGAAAAAAAAAACCTGTTCCTCTAACCATATGTTTTGTAGATGTATGGAAACCCTTTATTTACATAGGATTATTTGAGAGTATAAACAAAAATCAATTCTGAACACTTAAATGAGTAGATTTTATTTACTGTACTTTCTGGAGTAAAAGACAGACATTTTTCCCTCAGAAAAGAGGCTGAAAATCCAGTGAACTGAATACAGCATTTTTTGCCTCCCAAAATCCCGCCCCCTTCACCAAAATGGCCATGCATAGCCTTTAGGAGGCTTTCAGAGTGCTCCTGGGGGCTGGGGAGGGCAGAAATGAGCGAAAAATGGGCCATATTTTTTTGCTCATTTTTGGGCCCCCTCAGGAGTACTCTATAAGCCTCCTAAAGGTTATTCATGCCCCTTTAAAAAATGGGCCTGTTTTTGCGAAAAATGGGCCATTTTTGGGAGATCTGCAGAATGCAAAAACTTTTTTAAAAAATTTGCCTCTTCAAAATCTTGGTGCGTCTTATACTCTGGTATGTCTTATACTCCAAAAAATACAGTATGTATTACACAAATTTATATAGCCTCCCAACTCCTTTGCATAAAAGACCCATAACCTATAACATTAACTATATAGCCAATGAAAGAAGTACTGCTGTAGAAGAGCAGAAGGATGGAGTTAAGTGTGTCATTAACTTAAGAGTTGCTATGTTCCCAGAAATGGTCCAAGTCTAACCCTTCTTGAATTCAATTAACTCTTATCTGTCACAATTCAGTACCATGTTTTCCTGAAAACAAGACCTGTCATTTTTTTTGGGGGGGGGGCAAAATAAGCACTAGGACTTATTTTTGAGGAAACACGATTTCAGGGTGATCAGCCCAGCTGGCCACTCCACCCACTAGTGCACACACAAGAGCCAGCAAGCATGCAGGGACCAACGGTATCCAGCAGCAGCTGTAGCCCACCGGTCCCTTGGTCAGCACACTCTGGGGCTGCGCAGAGCAGAAGATAGGCAGGTGATCCCTACACGTGGAACAGGCTGCAGGCAAGCTGAGAGATGTGAATATGAGTCTCCTGCAGCTGCCCCCCACTCCTCCCAACTGCTGCTTGGCTTTCTAATGAATCAGATCGCGTCTCTCCCCCACATGCCTCTGTCTCTGTCTGTTGCCGGTGTCACTACATGAAGATGAGCCTCCTGCAGCTGCCTGCTGCTCTGGCCCATCGACGCTCAGCTTTCCTGTGGCCCACACAGCTCATCCAGATTGCCTGCCTTCCACCTGCCTCTGCTTCCGCAATTTAACGCATCTACGCTGTGTGGGCTGCAGCTACTGCCAGACACAGTCGGCTCACACACGCTCACTGCCTCCTATTCTGGCAATACCCACTCTCTTCACTAGGGCTTATTTTAGGGTAAGGCTTATATTAGGTGCACACATAAAAACAGGCTGGGGCTTATTTTTGGGGTAGTTTATATTTTCGGGGAAAAACAATCAATCTTTTGAACTGCAACTTAATATATGGTCCTGATTGTTTGCACCTGAAAAATGCTTAGTTTAAGAATATATTTCCAAGCACCTCAGTTAGTCCATGTTATTCTTTTCACAAGATCCAACAAAGCAGTGGATATACATGGAAAATATTCTGTTCTTGGGTAGTGATTTAAATCAGTTATTTTTTATTTTATACAAGCATTGAATAAATATTAGAATATTAGACTTATGGATTACTCTCTTAACTTTACCAACAATATACCCAAATTTGTGTAGGTAGTTGAAATCTGCATGGAAAATAATAAAAACAACAATAACGTAGAAACAGCCAAAGGGAGGAAGAATAATTTGTCCTTCCCAAATACAATATTCATTTTCAACTCACCGACTTATAAAGTTGTGAAATACTAACACGAAGATTTCATTTGTATAAAAGGCAGTTAACAATATCATATTCCACTTCCAAACAATAAAAAACCAATTACACCAGAAGCTAACATTCTGTACATAATATGGTAGTGCCTTACCTCTGGTTGGCAGGCTCAGTGAGCAGTTCCATGTTGACTGGATGTCAAGCCAGCAGAAGATTCTACCAGAATAATGCTAAAAGCATCACTTGCCTTGAAATTTAAGGGCATCTTCCTTGCTGCCCTCTTGTACCACAGGATACAGCAGAGCCAAACCTGCTCCACACTTGGTTCACCTTCACCATTATGCATTTGGAAATGTGGGTATTTCATTTGGGGGGATTTTTTGTTTTGTTTTGATTGCTCTTCTACCTCACATTTTTGTTTTACCTGCTGTTCATTTAGTTTCCTTTGAATCTCCTCAGAATCGCAAGTTTCATAGACAATGGCTTTGGATAACTCTGATTCAATATGGGCGAGCCAAGATCTCAAGATGCTCATGTTCTTATCCAATTGCTGGATTGCCACCAAGGTCTCCTTCAGTTTCTTCATCCTGTTAAAAGTCACAGACAACATCATGAGCAACTCTCTTTTTAGATATCTCTCTTTTTAACTGACATATTCCAACAATTTTTAATATCTATGTAGTCTTGATTTTTTAGAATGGATATGAATAACATAGCATAACAAGTATAGATAAAAGTGAAAATAATATTGATAGCTATTAAAGAGTATTTTTAAAAAATTATTGCTTACAATAATTACTTTTAGATCATGAAAATAGGAAAAGGCTTCTTTTAATTTTCATTTAGCAATGAGTGCTTCAGGTTCAATATTTCCAGTGAATGGAAGAATCAATGTGGTGTAGAGGTTAAGTATTGCACTCAGAATGGGAACTGTAGATCTATTTTACTCTCAGCCATGCAAACTGAGGTGACTTTGGGCCAGTCTATCTCAGTCCAATCTACTTGACAAATTGCTGAGGATCAGAATCAAAATAGGTCTTAAATCATTATGAGAGTATATATGATGCCTAATTGATCTTTCAGTTTTCAGAAGGCACTGGAGAAGATCTTTATCTTCTAGTGTGCAGTTTGACTAAGCCCTAGCTACTTCTTGGGAAGAGAGGTTGGTGATGGGTCTTGATTAAGTTTGTGTGCCCTGTGTACATCACGAAAGCCCTCCTAATTCTCAGATAAAATTTCAAGCTGGTGACAGAAGAAATATTGTACCAACAGCATCTCTGGAGAAGGACAAAGAGCAACTCTGATAACAGGAAGAATATTTATTAAGGATTACACAGTAGAAATAAAAGTGATAAAACATCATCATTTTCTACTTTAATTGTATTTTTGGAGTGCCATTTGAAGTGTTGGTCTTGTTTAAGGTGGCCTAGTCCTTAGGAAGAGATGAGTAAGAAAACAATCTGAAAGGTTAGTACTGCCCAGAGCTGTTACCATCAGTTGGGTGGCCATTTAAATGTGATAAATAAATAAATGGAGAATGGAAGGGTTAAGTATCTGCTGGAAAAGAATTTGAATTTATTATCACTCCAGCTGTGCAGGACATGTAAAGTTGATTGACATATGGTCTGACACCAAGGAAGAGTTTGTGCTTGTTAGTCCTGAGGGATTGGACAGGGGTCCTTGGATTTGTCAGTATGGCACTTGCATTTTAAGTTCATGTCCTTCCCTAGTTGGTTAAGGCCTCCCACGAGATGATCTTGAGGTGATTCAAGCAGTTACAAGATCATCCTTGAGAGATAGGATGATGAATTCAATCTGTGTTGAGTTGGTGGTGGTTTGCCCTATCTTCAATAAGCTATTGTTGGACTAAAGAGTGTTGGAAAACTTTTATCCTTTTTCAAGTTTTACTTTTTGGGGAAGTTTGTTGAGAAAGTAATTGGATTGCAATTCCAGAAGTTTCTAAAGAAAACTGATTATCTGAATCTCTTTCCGTTGAATTGCAGGCCTGGGCATAGTACAGAGATGGCACTAATCATATTAGTGGGGCAGCCCTTGAAGAACATTCGGAGACTTCAGCTCGTCCAGAATGCAGCTGCGCAAGCGATTGTGGGTGCACCTCGGTACACCCACGTTACACCTATCCTCCGCGAGCTGCACTGGTTACCGATTGGTCTCCGGATATGCTTCAAGATGCTAGTCGTCACTTATAAAGCCCTTCATGGTATTGGACCTGGGTACTTGAGAGACCGCGTGCTGCCAATTATTTATTTATTAGACTTATATACCGCTTCATATTAGACTTCATATACCGCTTCTCTAAGCGATTTACAAATTTTTTAGCAAATTGAGTCAGCAACTTGCCCCCACAGTCTGGGTCCTCATTTCACCCACCTCGGAAGGATGGAAGGCTGAGTCGACCTTGAGCCGGTGAGATTTGAACCGCTGAACTGCAGATCACAGTCAGCTAAAGTGGCCTGCAGTACTGCACCCTAACCACTGCGCCATCTCGGCTCTCAATTACCTCCCAAAGACCCATTAGATCACACAGAGTAGGCCTCCTCCGGGTTCTGTCTACCAGCCAATGTCATCTGGCTACTACCCGGGGGAGGGCCTTCTCTGTGGTGGCTCCGGCCCTTTGGAAAGAACTCCCCGCAGAGATTCGGACCCTCACCTCTCTCCAGGCCTTCCGAAAAGCCGTTAAAACCTGGCTGTGTCGGCAGGCCTGGGGTCAATGAGTTCCCTTCCCCTCTCGAATCATGTGGCTGTTGGTTGTTTTTAAATGCCCTGTACTTTGTAGTTTTTGTGTTTTTCCCTTCCCCTCTTTGGGTTTGTGCGCCGCCCTGAGTCCCGCCGGGAATAGGGCGGCATATAAATAAAATGAAACTCGAAACTCGAACTTGATTTATGGATGATCTATGACAGACTTGGGAGTGGTTCTCTTTGATCACTGAGCAGCTTTGATGCCTTTGATCCTTCTGACTTCAAGGGTTGGATGTACAGTGTAGTAGTAATTCTCCTTCCACTAGAAATGGATTAAGTTGCAGGCGGTGGGGAGATGTCTAGCCCTTGGCTCTTGCTTTATGGAAGGCATCACTCTTTCGCTGCTCTTGCTTAGCATTTACACTGGGCAACAAGATCAGACCATCTGTCATGATAGAGTTAGAGGACAGTTCGTACAAAATGCAGAGGTATAAGAAGTGACGTCTTATACCTGTTTGATAAGGTATGAGTCCATCAGTTCCGTATTACCCCTGAGGTTCGAATGGACCCAGCCCCTGCCTGTCTTTCAAAAGGGTTGGAAGACCTGAGTTTTTCCCAACATGGAGTCAATGTTTGTGCCTAATATGACTGTTCAACTGTTTATGGCTATTTTAAGCTTTTTGAAGCTGTCTCAATAAGAATATAGTGAATAAAAAGAACTAGGTTATAAAGTGACTTCACATTTTCATCACAATATAAACAATTTTAGTAAGTTATCACCTTCTCTTAAAATACAATAATTGATCTCTTTTTACCCTCCTGCCATGTCCCATCTCTGAGATAACAATCTATTTAACTACGATCAAATAAACCAACTTTATATTCCTTCCTTTTACTTCTATCAACGTTGCTCTTTAGTTTAGTCCTTTCAAATAATGATGAAAAACTTCATTTCTTATCCCTTTTCACAAAATTCTTCAAACCTTTTAACAAGCCTCTTTTGTAAATCCCATATAGGAAAATTATCCAGGTCACTCTCATTTTTGGTGTTTGTATATCCCTTTTAATTATTAAGATCTTTTGGATGTCCAGTGTAACATCTTTTACTATGTCATCTTGCAGCCTATTGTTTTTTAATCCACTTCCAATTCAATCTCAATCTTGTTGTGCAGAATTTCCTCCTCTTTCATAGCATCTTGTAGTCACAGACTTTATATAGATGCAGACACTATTAAAATTAATTATAAGTCCATCATTCAAAAATATTGTTCAGTGTGTGAAAATAAGCTCTCCCACTTTTTTTGTATGCTTGGGCCAAAATTAGTAAAAGAGAAGCAGTGCTTCTTTCTGTGCACACTTCTGCAATGTGTTTCTTCTCTTTCTGGTAACCCCCTCCCCCTCAGAAATTAACTACAGTAATTCAATCTAACTTCCTATTGTAATTCTCTTTTGCTTAGTATCGAAGTGTCAAAGTTTGTGGTTTACTTCAACATACGTCTGGTTTTGAAAAACTAAACACTTATCATAACAGAACTGTCAACAGTCCTTTATTCATGAAATGAACACGTTAGTGTAACAACATATTTTGAATCTTAGTCAGATACTCATCTTGCATACTCTTGCCAAAAGTTACTGTACTCGAGTGAATGTTATTTTGGAAGCCTACAGTTTCACTAAAATATACATTCATTTCAACTGAAAAGATATACAATCATGCAAACATGGTAAGAAATCATTGTAGGCAAAAGCTATCTCATCTCAGATAAAACTGCAACAATATTTACAGAAGCTAACTTTCTTAGCAAAGTGTAACATCTCCCACCACATTGCTTCAAGAAGCTGGTGAAGATTTCTTTTCCTGCTAAAAAATACCCAACATCCAAAAAGAGCAGGTTGAAATCAGCACATCAGGTCTAAATTTAGCAAGATTAATCTATAGCTGCAGTAGATCTGTTGAACTTTTTAAAACTGTGAACTTACAGTTTCACACTGAGGTAATTATTTAGCAGTATCTTTATTGTTGGATAAATATTCTTAACTTTAAATTAATATTTTAAATATATTACCTCAAATTAAGTACTGAAAACATATTTAAGTTTAAAATACATGCAGGGATAATTTATTTCTTTATTATTGTTCATTCAATACTATGAAAAAAATTTCAGATATGTAAACCTTAAGTACGTTGTCATTGAAAATATATATTATGACTCAACTGCACTATAATGCACCATGAAGTCACAACTATGAATAAATAAGACAGCTGTTTGCTAATAATAACCTTCTTTAAAAAGGAGCAAGAAAGGTAATTTCAAAAATTGTAGTCACACTGCTTAATGAAATAAACAGAAAACAACCCCCCAAAATATTGTTCTTAATATTAAATAATATGGATGTTGCAAAAGTCCTTGGTTGTTTAACTTGAGTAAAATTTTGAAATACTTTCTGAAACTTTTTCAATTTTTTTAACATTAATTTTTTGTAGAGTTTGAAATATTTCTATAAAATCATTCCCCACATTATCCTTTTTCCATGCCACATTTATAGCGGAAAAAAGTCTGACATTCAAATGCATTTTCTATGTATCTTCCTGTGTGTTGTAATTTGCATATTTTAATTGTAGAAATATTTTTTTTCATGGAGCCCATTATTTTTCATGCCCATTTTTCATGGATCTTTTCATTACTAGGAACCCTCTTATTAGGAACAGCAATATAACAAAGCATAATAATAAAAGTTTCAAAACTTTGCTTGCCTTGTCACATCACAATTGCAGTCAGGAAGATCTGAATCCACACTGTGATCGTCTGCCATTTTCAGGGCATGTAAATCCACCAGCACCAGCATTAAATTTTCCAGGACAATAATTAAGAGCATTCAATCCAATTGTTACTGGAAATTGTACTTTACAGTACTGTGCAAACAGTGCTGACCCTCTAAACAAAAGTTGGTAAGTCACTGCCTGATAACATGAGACTAAGCTGCGTGACAAGTGGTCATGTTTCTAAATAAAACTTACATTCATCAACATGTGCCAGGGTGATCTTCAGGAATGTAGGCCGTGAATGGAGGAGGGGAAGGGTAAAAAAGTGTCCACTATAAATTCTGAGCAGCTGTGGACTAACCTGTCCAAAAAGGCAAGCCAGGAAAAAGTGTGCCTGGCTGGTGTAATCAAATAAAAATAAAAAGTGGGATATCTGTTTGGTTTGTTCCTTTGCTGAGTGCTATATGGACTTCCTGTTCCTGTTTTATAATTTTTATGAATAGTTCCAGCTGTTAGGAGGCATCACCAAAGGCATTGAAAGTAACAAGGAAAGGGATTTTTGAACCATCTAAAGTAACTTTTAAGTTATTTATAATATGAACTTTGACAACGGTACAAAAGTAAAGGAAAATAGTAGAATACAAATAACAATCCATCATTCAAACTGGGTTTTTTCAGATCAATAAATGTTAAACAAGTTAATTTTAGCATTTATTTAATAAAACAATACTAAAATAGTATACTTAGGTATACTGTATTTAAATTTAACAGGTGTTATCTTCTTGATGAAAAAGTTAATATTTATTTATATTGAAGGCGTTCTATTATAATGTTAAATGGCTGAAAAATGGAAAGCTATAAATGTGTCTTAAGTATAATTTTCCTTTCAGTCACAACAGACTGATAAAAACATGGTGTCTAAATACCACTGCTTTAGTTTTTCTATCTTCTTCTACCTTTTTCTATCTATCTGGTATTGTTTGCTTGAAAACCCACATCCTGAGGAACTATCTAGTACCACAAAAAATAACAATTCCGGCTTTAATGAATCTATTTGAATTGGCCCTTGCAACCAACCCTGACATGAAAATCTTTTACAGAAGAGGTTTATTCTGCCACAGCAAAATTGTAGGTACCAATGAATCACAGAAAATTATAAAATAATTAAATGGAAACCAAATGGTTAAGTACCATTGAAAAACAGGTAACGTTCTATAGATGCCTCAGATGTGCAAGTGGTGTTATTCTTCTGATGGTGGCAGAATAAAGGATTGATCCTGTTCTAGAGTTGAGAGTCAGGGCATTTTGCAAAAATTTTGTAAATACTGAAGTGCAATCTCTGTAAACAGTTCACTATAAAACTTTCTTTCTGACTGGGTCTTAACATGAAAGTTAGGCTATTTTGTTTTGTTTTTATTTTTTTGTTAGTACTTGTGTTTATATTCCACTTGCAATCCACCAAGATCAGAATTACATTAAGCACATGAACGCATACAAACATACATAGCATATATACCTGGCTGCAATGAGATCTAAAAGATGTTGCCACCTGTCATTGACCTTGCCAAGTTTATACTCAATCTCCAGGGTTTTGCTTTCATGGCTTGCTTTAGCAAGCCGTTCTCCCATTTCCTGAAGCTGCATTTTATTTTCTTGGGCAACTGCAATTTCATCTTGATAATCCTGAATGACAGAAGGACATTAAAAAAACCACAGTAAGCATCTTAAGAAAATCTCCTTAGAGCAACAAATGGTTGCTTGGTTGCTCTTATCTAAATACTATCTAAACATGACACCCTGTTCTATAATTTTGACAGTGTTTATAGGAGGTAATAATCTAACATGCATAGACAACAGGGAAATAAAATTCCCCCCCCCCCAAGTTTGCAAATTGTTCAGTTTAGCCAAATTAGTGACACTCAGGTGTGTTGAAATATAAAACCCAGATTTTCCAGCCAATGTGGCCTTTATAAGAGCACCAGATTATAAAATACCATACAGGATCATAGCCAAGATTTTACTGAAAGCTTCCTTAGAGATAGCATGCTGCAGTTCTGATAAACTAAGAATATTTATGGAATGGTCTGAAATAGTAAAGCAGGAGCCTTGTACCTTTTTGAGTTTTTCAATCATTTCTTCAATGAGAATATCTCCATTCTGGGAAACTTTACTTTCCATTTGTGTCAACCACTCACAGAGATCTTTGTTCTTCTCGTTGAAGACTGCCCATTCATTCAGTTTCTCGCTCACCTGTTGCCTCCTCAAGGAAACCTTTAAAGTTGTGCAGAAAGAAAGATAGATTATGAGAACAAGAAAAATTAGGCATAATGTTCACCCTGCACTAAGATGATTGCTGAAGTAAAAAGAGATAGAGAAAGCTTCAACAATATGTGATTTCTTTAATAGCTTAACAATGGTTATTAATCTTAGGTTACTTTTGGCCAAATTGTAATGAGAAAGACAAATAAAAAAAGTTATCCAACACACAATAAGGTTCCAGAGGAAGATAAAGATAAAATTCAGGCTTATCAGTTGCAGATAAATGTGTACCTCATATAATGACAGTCAGGTAGATATATCTACAGCCTAGACAACTACACTTACATCTCAGATTACACATAAATATAGAGATTACTTTTAAATATGGAGCTGCAACTAGTCACAAAGACATCTTTTAATACCTATGCCGTTAAGAAAAAAAAGGGCGTACTATTTTTGAAGTAGTTTTCCCAATGCAATAAATTCTAAGACAATGAGATCAGATTTCTTAATCCTGTTGCTATTGATATTGTTAATTTGTTTTACTACAACCCAACTGGCTCTTAAAAAAATGCTAAGCATACAAACCTGGTAGGCAACTGAATTAAAAAATGTGGCCTCCACTGATAAAAAAAAAACGTTACTGCAATAGTATTTAAACAGTTTGCATCCAGTGATATCACCTAAAAATGACTCAGATATTGATGAATTTATTTCATATGTATAGTATATCTTGATTTTTTAATGTGATTTAGTCCTAGCTCAGTTTGTTAATCAGTGACCAAGAAGGTGGATACAGATAACAGAAATAAAACCCCCACATGAAATAGGAATGACATGTTAAATGAATTACAAATTAAAAGAACAGATTAGGTTACTGTCACCCATAATCACTCAATCGGTCCACTGTGGCCTTCAAAAGAACGAAGTATTTACCAATTTCTAGAAGGCTATTTGAGGAAGGCCATCCACAGAGAGCATCCTGCAAGCCCAGAAGGATGGCTTGTAATAAAGATAGATTTAGACTGTCTGATGGTTCCATCTGATCCCATCATATCTGACATACAATTGAAAAGGTAATAGAAGAATGGCAACAAAATGTCCTTACAATAAATGTATAACATGATTTCTTAAATCTTAAAATGTAGGTATATATATTAAAATGTGTGTGTGTGTGTGTGTGTGTGTGTGTGTATGCGTATATACATGCACACACACACACACACATACATACATACACACATTTTCAACAATCTAAGCTTTACTTACTGCACCTGTTTCTTCTTTTCTATAATTGCAGTTCCTTCTCAGCTTATGTATTTCCTTTACTGAGAAAGGAAATGCTTAAAAGAATGACCACAACCCATATTTAGATATGTAAAACAAGATACAAATGATTCTAATTTCCTTTGTGTTTTTTTCCACAACTCAGCATTAAGAAACTATTTTAATTCTTTGTGGAACTAAACTCCTCTATTGCATGGAGAACAACTGGTGAGCCAATTAGGTAAAAATGCCTCAAGATCAGAAATAAGGAATTAGTTGTTCAGTGTGTGCAGCATAAAAAAAATATTTATTTATGTCCCCATCGCCCACCTTCCAACATAGCCAGCATGCATTCTGTCTCTTGAGCCTTCAAAAAATATATCCAACCAAATAAGTTTATTTGCAAGTGTTCCCTGTTAAAAAAATGTTAAGTCCTTTCTAACACCAATTAAGGTTTGTGTAATGAACACATAAACAGTATTGGAATGCTCTTCTTGGCCAATTTAAGTAGATGATAGAGCATGAAATCTAAACTCTTAGTGAAGGTGTTTATACAAAAGTTAAAGCATTTCTATATTTATTTGTTTACAAACTTTCATAGCACACTCCAATCCAAATAGACTTAGAACAGGGTACGACAAAGTCAAGATAGTAAGATACTGAAGTTCAGATACAAATAAAGAGAAATAATAAAAGAATCAAACCATCTGTCATTCTTTAAACAATCAGAGTAAAGGCATTTCTAATGGGTAGTCCTCATTTATTTATGGTAATTGGGACCAGAATTTCCATCACTAAGCAATGTGGTCTTAAAGCACAATGTGATATGACTATACTGCTTTGCAAAAGAAATTCACACACTTCTGGTTGCTGTCATTAAGTGAATCCTATCCCATTATTAAGTGAGAACAAAGAAGGATGCAAACGATGAGCAGGTGACTCATCATTTAATATGTAACTGTGAGTAGGAAACCAAGTGCCCGGTCATGATTACATGTGTGCAGAGATAAAGAGTGTCTGGCATAAGTGCAAAGATCAGTCATAAGTACCATTAAATGAGGACCACCTGCATTTCCAATATAAATATGGCACAATCATTTACTCACAACACTCAACAAGTTTATCCATCTCTAATTACTAAGATCATCTTTTGCTCCTTTTTAAAGTGTAGGAATTATAATAGCCTCCCCAATCACAAGGAATCAGAGCTATCGTATTAATACAATTAAAAAGCAATGACACAACCGCCAACTGTGGTGAAAAACAAATACTTCCTAATTTCCTCCTTGGGCTGGTGCAAGGATAACCTAAGCACATCTCCACATGCCTCTTTGCCTGAATGTCAGTATCTTTCTTTGGTCTAAGGATGGCTTCAGGTTTCATGCTCGGGGTTTTCACTAATATTCTGTATATATTATTATATACTCCCTATTGCATGGGAGTGACAGGGAGGTGGTCTGAAATGACATGCTTTGTATCAGCAATCTTGCCATTCTAATTCGTGTCATTCTGTCCACCCTTTAGTCCACGATTGATTGTAGTGGGGCTTAAGTTCCTGGTGCCTGAAACTTTTTTTTCTTTTTTCTTTGTAAAGGGATTGATCAAGCAGTCATCTGACCAATGAGCAAAGTAAATGTCCCTGATATTAACTATGCTTCCCGGGTTTCCTGAATGCTCGGGAATATACAATATGAAAACTTAGGTTCTATGAGTTGTGTTTGTCTGCTTGTCTTTTCATGTAACTGATCCATATATGATATGCAGTTAAACAACCAGCCAAGAAATATAAACATTTTAATTCTTTGCTGCTACCTACTGGTCGAAAGGTATATTTGTGAATCTTAGAAAGTGAAAAGGCCTAAAAATGACTGACTAGCCCGTTCCTGATTTTAGACACAAACTGAAAGAACAATTAAATGGACTCAGTTCATATATTATTCAATTAGTTTGGCATAAAATAAGAAAATAAAGAAACAACCAGGATGTTTACCTGATTTATCATTTTTTGTGTTTATATATGTATCTTCTATCTTATGTTTCTTAACACATGAACGGGTGAAATTTAGGGCTCTTCTTGCATCTCTTTCTTACAGATAAGTTTTTAATTACTACAACTGCCTTCATTCTGAGAATGTTCAGAATATTCAGATGTTTTGCTTTTAAGTGCCTTAGCTTTGTTTTGAACAATTGAATATATCTATTATCTCTCTTAAAGGTTTCAACAGTGTTTCTTCTGGATTCAAAAATTCAGTCAACAATAAGATTCCATTGTCAAATACACTAGGTGAAATCTCATGCAAATGGGGAGTTTCTCTTTGCTTTCAGAATGCAAAGGAATAATATAGCATCATGAAACAGCTTTGGGCGGATATTTATACTTTTCAAAGCAGCAGCTAAATATTTATAAATAGAAAAAGCAACCTTAATAGAAAGCAAGGACTTGATTCCCTTGCTTAGAATTTTGACATCAGCAAAATATAGGCATCTATTTTTCTTTTACTATCTATTCATCTGGAGTGTCTCAATGTATTTAAAGTGAAATCAAGTTAGTGGAAAGTTGAAAAAAGGCTGAAAGAAGTTCCATTTTTTTTTTCATGTACCCAGGAAGTCATATTTTCTTCTGCTAAGAACACAAACCAAGATTTGTTGGGGCAGGTTTTTGGGTGGGGAGAGTTGGCACTTAGGAAATTTTTTATCAGTTGACTTGTAACTTGTGATATTAAGATTTTTATAATTGTGCAGTATTCTAGTACGAATGGCACTCTGATCCTGTATTTGTTACATATATCCCAAATTGCAACTAAGAAGATTAAAGAATTATATATAACTAGTTAATTGAACATTCAAATCCAGGCTTATCATATTTAAATCCAATGTTTCAGACATTAAACTAGGGGGTAACTCAGCAATTGTCTGGTAGTCTGCACAAATCAGACTGGCCTAACAGGAAAATTATTTTTGTATTTTTTTTGGCAGGCAATATTATTGTACCTGGTGACATAGTTCTTCCCATTGTCTGTGCAATAATTCAATACGTTCGTTGAGTGCCGAAATGTCCTCTGCACTAATGAAAGTACCCAGGGTCTCCTTTAATAAGTTCAAATGAGAAAGATCGTTGGTCCATCCCTCAGCGGCACTCTCTAGTTCCTATTTTGGAGAAAGAAAATCTTTAAAGTGTATATAGAAATAAATATTTATTTATTTTAATTTTGTACAGTACTGCAGAACAAAAAAGAAAAAAAAAACCTAAACGAATAAGTAGTTTACAGGCTTATTTTAAAAAGAATACTTGTTGTTTTGGTTTACTTCAATGTACATTCCTTTTAATTGCTTCCACCTAAGAGAATATCAGAATTTCCTTTTTCTGTGGGCCCTGATATACTGCATATATCTGCAGTGTTATACAATACAGTTTTAAATTACATTGTTTGATAACTTGCCTGTGATCCAAATTGGAGTTTAGGAAAGAAACATTTATTTTGGATGTATACTCACCCACTTATAAGGATAAGGAAAAAGAATAACTTCATAAGAAATTGTAACAGAAAAACGTAATTTTAAACACCCCCCCCATGACCCCCCATATGCCTGCTCCTCTCTGTTCAAACCTAGCAATATCCAGACAACTACTTTTAAAGAAAACTTAAAACATGTAGATTTTTAATAACTCATACCGTATTAAACTATGATAGAAGCAAGGCTAAGAATGACCTCGCTCCTCAGCTTTTTAAAAATATTCCAAGCATGGCATAGTCTGTAAGTATTATTTGTCTGTAAATCACCTGTTACTCCATGCATAATACAATAAAATATATTTGTCTGTAAGTCACGTGTTACTCCATGCATAATACAATAAAATGGAAATAATCTGTCCTGATTGCATTCTATGTTATATTATCTCACTTTAGAATCAGACCGCAATGTGCATTTCTACTGTACCTTGCAGCGAATCTGCTCTGTGTGGAGCTCATCATGATGGTCTGGCAATGGCTGAGAAAGCTTCTTCTTCAGGGATTTTAGCTTTTCCAAGGAATTTGATATGTCTTTTTCACATTTTTCCCAGTCCTGAACGGTAGAATATAAAGTTAATGTCTCTCAATTGAAGCAAAGGAAGAACAGAGAGGATGGGTTCTCAAACCTAACACTTCAAGGACCTAATTACTTACATTTCCTCCAGCAGCACAAAGCTGGGTACACATTTTCATCTAATTTTCCAGTGAACTTTGTTGGGGCAAGAAAGAGTGAATGGCTCTAAGTCACTCAGTAAACGTCAATGACCGAGGGTGGACTTGAACCTATATCCAACATCTTAACCATTACACTACACAATAGATTTGATCAAACCATGACAATATATAAACGGAATCTGTGGCTATAGAAGGCACAAGGATTATTTACAAGTGACTAAGATGTTGGAGCGGAATAAACCTCTTCAAAGAGAAGCCAAATGACTTCAAAGAAAAGTCCAGTTGCCTTTTATAGAAGCACCTTTGGGACAAATGACTCAGATCTAATAAGATTTGAGAGCTACTATTTGGTAATACTCTATAAAGTCATATCCTGAATTTACAAAAACAGTTAACGCTGCATTAATTTCCTATCAGAAAAGTAGAAGGCATAAAGGAAAGCGAAAAGTTAAATGCAATACAAACAAACATTGTAACTGACAACTTTAATCACAGTAATAGTTTATTAGGGTATGAATCACAGTATTTTGGATTCCCTATAATTAACAGGTATATACATAAGTGAGAGTTATTGAATACTCACTGCAATCCACTGATTTAATTGGTCATTAAAAAAATTGGAAAATTCACATCTAAACAATTGCTTAAAATTGCAAAATTCTAATTCATTCCTTTTTCTTGCCATGTTTGCAATATGGCAGTTTAAAGACTTCCCACTTCCGTTATATTTATATACAGTTATTATGAACAAAATTCCAATTGATGTGAAATTGGTTTGAATCTATATTTGTGTAGTAATAAGCATGTCTATAAACATTATATAATTCTGTCCCCCAAAACAGCAAGGTTATGCATAAACACACAGGCATTCCCTTATATCAAAAAGGTACATTGTTTAAAACTCTGTGTCTTTCTCTGAAATTGATAATTTTATTCCACTAATATCTATTGTTACCTATTGTGTTGAATATAATGTTTCTGTGTCATCAATAAAAGGAAAAATAAAAGGAATAATGGAGTGAGCTCCCGTTACTTGTCCCAGATTCTGCTAACCTAGCTATTCGAAAGCATGTAAAAATGCAAATAGAAAAATTGGAACCTTTGGTGGGAAGGTAACAGCGTTTTGTGCATCTTTGGCATTTAGTCATGCCAGCCACATGACCACAGAATTGTCATCAGACAGCGCTGGCTCTTCGGCTTTGAAACGGAGATGAGCACCAGCCTCTAGAGTCAGGAATGACTAGCACATATGTGCAAGGGGAACCTTTACCTTAAGCATGTCTGTAAACATTACATAATTCTATCCCCCCAAACAGCAGGGTTATGCATGTACACATACATGCATTTCCTTATATCAAAAAAGTATAATTTAAAAACTCTGTCTTTCTCTGAAATTGATAATTTTATTCCAGTATTATCTATTGCTCCTATTTTGTTGAATATTATGTTTCTGTTTCATCAATAATCAATGAAAGAAATAATTTTGTCAAACTGATCCCCAAAACAAAATAGTTAAGTCTCAGAAAATGGGTTTGTTTTGCAAATACGGATTATGTGGCTTCAAATTCATCAAATAGATATTTTCCTGCGCATTGCTTTCTATTAATGAATTCATTCATTCATTCATGTACACATAGTCCTTGGTTTATATAACAGCATTTGGGACTGGGATTGCAATCACTAAGCAATGTGGTCATAAAGCACAATGTTAATGTGAGAACATTGCTCACTTAGCATTCACAAGCTCCAAAGTCCTAGTTGTTGTTCTAATTCTCTGGACTCCTGGATTATTAAGTGGGAAGAGGTGGGACTCCCATTTAAGGAGCATGGGGGTCATATGGGTGCTTTGGGAGGATTTGGAAGGTTCAGCATAGGGGTGCTACAGGCAGAGATGCTATGAAGGATTCGTACTTACTGGGATGACTTTAACGTTCCCTGCTGGCTTTCCCATTGAATTTGCTTGTGGGAAGCTGGCAAGGAAGATCACAAATGATGATCACATGTGGCTCTACCTACTCAATCTCTCTCCCTACCTACCTTCTGTATTTCTCTCTCTCTCTCTCTATCCCTCTACTTACCTACTTACCTTCTTACCTACCTACTGTCTCTCCCTCCCTCCCTCCTGTATTTTTCTCTCTCTTTATCCCTCTACTTACCTACCTACTCTCTCTCTCCCTACCTACCTACTGTATTTCTCTCTGTCTCTCCATCTACCTACCTACCTACCTACCTACTCTCTCTCCCTCCCTCCCTACTGTATTTCTCTCTCTCTCTCTCCCTCTACCTACCTACTCTCCCTCCCTCCCTACTGTATTTCTCTCTCTATCCCTCTATCTACCTACCTAATCTCTCCCTACCTACCTACTGTATTTCTCTCTCTCTCCATCTACCTACCTACTCTTTCTCCCTCCCTCCCTACTGTATTTCTCTCTCTCTTTATCCCTCTACCTACCTACTCTCCCTCCCTCCCTACTGTATTTCTCTCTCTATCCCTCTATCTACCTACCTACTCTTTCTCCCTCCCTCCCTACTGTATTTCTCTCTCTCTTTATCCCTCTACCTACCTACTCTCCCTCCCTCCCTACTGTATTTCTCTCTCTATCCCTCTATCTACCTACCTACTCTTTCTCTACCTACCTACTGTATTTCTCTCTCTCTTTATCCCTCTACCTACCTACTCTCCCTCCCTCCCTACTGTATTTCTCTCTCTATCCCTCTATCTACCTACCTACTCTTTCTCCCTCCCTCCCTACTGTATTTCTCTCTCTCTTTATCCCTCTACCTACCTACTCTCCCTCCCTCCCTACTGTATTTCTCTCTCTATCCCTCTATCTAC